TCTGTGTTTCTTTAATATTTACTTTTAAATTAAGAAATTGAGTAATGTATAGTTCTAAAATTTGAATTATAGTCTACAGTTTGATATCAAACTTATTGACATAACGTCATGAAATAATAGTTCAATAAAATTTTGAATGTGAGTCAACAATTGAGATCACATGGCCTTTCACCTGTGACCTGTCTGGAAAGGGTTAAGAAAAGAGCTCATTTTTGTAGTTGGTCTGCACCAGCCATTCTACCATTTTCAATGTTGAATTCTACTAACTCTTAGTGATCCAGAGAGAGATGGGTAGTATTTCTGAAGTTAAAATTTTCCTTTCCTGAAAATGCATTTCAGCTAGATACTTACCTCTCTGCATCACCATCTTACCTTTCCTCTGCACTTCCTTTACCTCATTGACAATGGGCCTATGATACTCAATACTCACAGGGATTACTACATGTGGAGATCATGTCGCCCTCCTGTTGGTGGAGAGCTACAACATTATGACTTATGTCGTAAGCTAACATTATACATGTAGATATATTTCTTGGTGGGAGCTTGTTGAACATTTGTGGCATGCTCCTGGAATTCCAGTTACATGCGAGATAATAGCAGTGCATAAAGATGGGTTTTTATCTGCAAAATGTTTTCATGAAAGGAAAATGTTAGCTTTTATTGTGCTTTGACATATCATAGCATTATTGAACTGTGAGTCGTAGAGCATGAATAAACAAAAAGCACTGTAAAAGGAGGTTACTAAGCTTATCATTGCCATCAAAAGATCTCCCCTCTGAAAGAGAAAAGATAGATGATAGCTTTTTTATAGTACTAAACATAGTTTTTCCAATAAAACCATAAAATATATGGTGTGACATCAATAATTACATGGTATATATTTTTTAAAGAGTAAGAGTACTAATATGTACCTAAATGTTTAATTTGTTTTGCAGCTCATTGGTAATATTTGCAATCCAGATAGCAAAAGATTAAGTATCCATTTTGAAAATGTCTAAGCCTGTAACAGCTACTATAGCTTTATCATACATGTATATTGTACAGTATATGTATCATTCATTTAGTTGGTATATGTAGTAACATATTTGGATTTTTCTTTTTTAATGAGTGAAATTGGTCTCCACTCTTCATTTTGTACTTTAATATTTACATAAGGTAATTATGAACTAATTGAACTGAAGTTGTTTTAGTAATATCTTGCACTAAATCATTTTGTAATTTGATGTGGCACAATGATTTTTTTTGTAAATTACAAGTTTTTTTGTTGTGATTTAATTTTAAAAAAAATTTGATAAAAATTGGTTGAGCAATATGTAAAAATTCTAAGGTTTTTAAGTGCAGTTTGTACATGTATTTCATAACTTCTTCTGATTTTCATCTATTTTAATATTATTATACTAAGAAACATTATAATTTTGAAACTGTCTTCTATGTTGCTTACTATGTGGAAGTTTTCTAGAGTAAAAAAACTAAATATCTGAATTATTTTTCATCTTTCCCATAAAAGAAATCATTTTATAGTTTTACAGGCTGAGGAGTTGATGAAATAATTTGAATGGTTAAACTGTGTATTTTGTGAAATAAACTTGGATAGTTAAATGATAACTTTTGCCATGCATGGGTTTTCTTTCCATATGGCAGGAAGGGAACTTCCCCTTAAACATAATCTTTACCATTCTCACCCAGGTTGTTTGTAAATTTGAAGGTTATTTTTGGCATGCATTTTCAAAAATTTTTAGGAATACAACCAGAGGCATGTAGACATGTTGTACTTTTGGTACTTGAATGCTTCACATCAATTGGAAAATAAAATGACCCACCCTTCAAAAGAAAAAAACAACAACAAATTCTGAAAGAAAACCTTTGCCTTACATGTATGGTCATGTTCTTAACAATGTATATTAATTTCTTCTACAATAGGTAGCTTACAGAAAATATTTGGAGAGTGTTAATACTCTTAGCACTTACTTGCTAGAAGATCTTTCAAAGAATGGTAAGTTCAATTCATTGTTAGGTTGTTTTTTTTCGAATAACTACTGGGTAATTCTGTATGATATAAAAAATCTACTTTTCTTTAATAATGTATATTTAAAGCATTTTCAGAAGTATTTTCATCATCCCAGATTTGAAGCAAAAATATTTGAGTTGAGTGCACTGGTTGAATGAGTGATTAGCAGGGATATTTTTTTTTGATGGACATTGTGATGTCCATGATAGGAATTATATCTGGGCTTGAGCCCTGCATTGTAACTCTGTTGGTGAACATCAGCCTCAGAGTGGGTGTTAGTGGAGAAGCTTGGGTTCCTTATAATAAATTATGACACACCAAGGAGCCTTTTGTACAGTCAAGGATATCCTGCTCTTAGTCTTCTTCAGCAAATAGAAAACTAATTTTTAAATCTCAACCCGATTCCTGGAATATTAACCAGACGCATTCCAATACGATATCACACCTCACATACTAGCTTTTCTTCTTTAGTGCTGCTCTCTATATGCTCAGATTTTTTTTCCTTCCCACTAGCCTTGAAATTTCCACTATCCCACATCTCTACATGGCTCAGCTGCATTTTAGTATGCAAATAAGCATATGATAACCCTCCACCAATAGGAGTGTGACACTTTTCTGTCACAGCTGGCTCCCTCTATATGGTAGAACCCAATATTCATTTCTTGATTTGGCACAGTAGTGTTAATTTTCATTCATGTTTTTACTTTATGTTTATCATTTTCTAGCTGTATATTAAACAACTTAGTTGTTTTTTTGCTTCATTTTATACAGTGATAATCTCACTGTTGCTTATTTATTTTGAACTTCACTCCACTATCACTACTTCTGTACTGATGAATATTACAACATTTTAACCTGCTGTGTCTCAGGCTCCAGCCTTACACTCCTGGCTGTGGGGGTCACAGTCTTTTAACAGGAGTTTGGGTCTATCATGTAACCCAGACCTGATATTTCTTTATCTGGTGAACCTGGGCAAGATTGAGATGATTTAGATAGTTTTTATTGGAGTTCTTTCCTGATACTTCAACCTCCTCATCTTCTACTCCTAGTTGAAAACTTACTGTTGTTCTCTATGCCTTTACCTGAAACTTATTCAAACTTGTTCCTTATGCCATTTATCTGTACAGTTTGTTTTAGAGGTGTTATCACATCAGATTAGATATCATACCTTTCTCTGACTACTCAGCTATGTTATCATTTGAGGGAAATCATTCAAGCTGGCAGGTAGACCTCACCCAACATGTTCATCTACCATTAACCCCACTCAGTGTCTATTTCATCCTCATCCAGGTATCACATTGTTCCTGTAGCTATACTACACACATCAGTTCAACTATGAGTTGGTATATTTATTAATTTCTTTCTTTGTCCTGATAGGGTCGCACTCTTCTTCTATATTGGATCCCATTCTGGGGAGTGATACCTGTCCAGGTATACTTATTCTTAAATCCTCACTTTACTGCCAATATGGTCAATAATGCCAACCATTGAGATGGAATATTTGACAAGACAGCTAGTAGGTTCTTCCTTGTGGTGTTTTGCATCATACATATGTCTATCCTGGATCATATACTCGTGAACAAGCATGAGTAAAGTAGAAGGTGATTGCTGTCCATCCACGGAGCTCCTTCAATTGCATAAATTAGGAATGATCTTCATTTCAAAATAGGATTTTGCAGTAACCTATTGCACCTTATCTGGTGCTGTATCCTCCAGACTCTCCAATGCAATATTTTCCCCCTCTTATCAGGGTTTGATTTTAATGGTCATCTGAGATGACTAAAAACTTCCTCGGATGACCTACTTAAATCCTCATGTTCAATGGGTGGCTAGCACCCAGGAACAGACCCTTATTCAAAACAGCATTGAACTCTACTGTACATTTATCTGTGCCCACCTTAAACACATAATATTGACTCTGATCCTTGACCAAAATCATCCCTAGGTATATTCCCTAACTATGAACTCAAACTTGAACCCCCACAAAAATATCTTTTGGTCCATGTTTTAGCTGTAGCATAGTGGCTCATAGAATGGCTCTGAGTTTTTTGTATTTTTTTCAAGTACATACTTTTAGCTCATAGCTCTGTCATGTCTTGACTGATTAGAGATCTAATTACAGTTTTGGACTAAGAAGGTCAAACCCTTTCAAATGATGTATTTGACCATGCCCAAAGTCTCATAGATTAATTTACTTTAATCCTGCCTAAAAGAATTTCAATTTGAGGTAGGCTGGTAGAGATCCTGATGAGTAATAAAATTGAATTGTGTAAATGTGTGCCCCACACTTGGTATTGCTGACATACAAAAATATAGCTAATAAAAAGGAAAAAGTCTCATAGATTAATTTACTCTAATCCTCCTGCCTAAAAGAATTTCAAGTGCCACAGCTATTGAGGATTCCCTCTTGTTTGTTTAAAAAAAGATTGTACTTTGTGCAAGAGAAATGTTGGTACAATCCACCAAAAGGGGCTGAAAACATTAGAAAAAAGTTCACTTTTGTGATTGGCTAATAATGTTGTTTTAGTCACTAAATTTTCTATCATAAACAAGCTGCATGTAAATTTTGTAAGGAGTTCAACTGAGCATGAATGATTGTGTGTGGTAACACACTAAAGTGTATATAGCTCAGTTAGTTACATTACCAGACTTTTTTTTCTTACAAGTTACAGCTTTTACAGTAAGTAAAATTTATTTCTAAAACAAGCACACCAATTTGATAACTGGTGCAATCATTCTCAAGCACACACATTTTAATGGTAAAAAACATTTAGTATTTAAATCAACATTCAACAAATGTAAATATATATATAGTTAATCAGTAAGTAAACTCAAAGTTAAACTATTACCACACATTGTATTGCATGATGTTTGTATGTGTATGCTCGGATGGGCAGGAATTTGCATAGAAAATTAATGCCAATAACGTGAATATTTAGTGACATTAATAATTTCTAGTATAGATGTTTACAACAATAAAACTAACATGACTGTTTCAACCTCTTAGCAATAAACTTTCAGCAAGAACTAAAATGATCAAATTTATAAATCAAACTTAAAATTTTCATTGTTAATCATCACAGTTGAAACAATGATCCCTCCCCCATTTTCAATTAGGCACATAAAAGGCTTAAGGCTAACATTAGACAGACATAACCAATCGAGTCTAGAAAATAGGGAAGACTAGTTACCATGAGAAAAGTTGTAAAATCCACAAATTAAACAGACATAATGATATCTGCAAACAGTATTATGAAAGCTTTGATCAGTACGAAACAAAATAACAATAAATAAAATAAGGCTAGCTTTGCCTCTTTCCTGGTCAATGCAAATTTCAAGTATGAACAAAAATACATATCAGCAGTATGAGTGTATACAGTTGTATAGTAGTATGTGTGAAAGTTCTGATGCAAGTTTAGTCTTACTACAGGCTGTATTTTACTCAGTGGGAAGGCCAAGCTGGTTAAAATGAAAACATTGAATGTGATTGGCCAAGATCGCTGTTCTGTTTAAAAGTTTTAAATATCATTGACTGTTTGTTTTCTTAAGATACTAAGTAACATTAGCATGGCTTTGGCTTATTTTCTCTAATGTAATGAACTTCCCAGGAAATAAGGCATCAAAAATTAGTTAAATAAAGATGCAAATTTGTCAACTAAACATTAATTGTACTTTTTATAAATAAGTAAGATATAAAAACATCAAAATTATTGAAATTGGGCCTTTTTTAGGGTCTTCGAACATTACTATTGTCATAATGGGACTATTTTTTGAGGATTTGTGTTTTTTATTTGTTTTTTTGGACAACCAATACAGCCTTCTGGACAACCTGAAAAGTTTCTTTAAATTGAGTCCTGCTTCTTCCAGTGGAGTACGGGAGTCCTTACCATTTACCAGCTCCTAGCCACTATGGTGGTGGACCATGGAGACTTCCTCCTGAGTGTGCTTAATCCCACTTAGTTGAGAGTAGGGTGGTGGAGTTCTGCTTGTGTAGATGGCATGACTATCCTCCTGCTGTGGACCTGATACAATTCCAGATGGCATATGGTTTTAGACTTGATTTTTCTGTCACATGCATTTCACCCCTATGGTTGGGTACCCTCATTATACTGTGGACTGGATGAAAAATGTTCAATGCTGCCAGGTTTTAGGCTGGAGAGGAACACCCACCTTGGCTCTCTTACTAGCTGCTGGATGTTGGCTCCCAGTGGATCTGATGTTGTTTCTGTTGGAGGTATGCACATGCGGAGACAGGTTCTTGGTACCTTAGCTCCTCTTCCCTGCTGGTACATGTTCTTGAGGTGAAAGGTAGAGGACCCTCTTCCTACCACGGACTTGATGTACCATTTCAGATGCAATCAGGTATTGGTTGCGGTTGAATATTTGTGGTCTTTCACACCCTAGCCACTCTACAACAAGGGGTCCCATTATTTCTGTATTTTTTTTAGATCCCTCCAAGTTCCTGCCCTTTACATTTTGGTGACACATTACTAAAGGGCGAAGAGAATACCTGTCTCAGAAGTGGTACAATCCTCCATTGGGGTGTTTTTTTTAATTCCTTATCACCTCTCATGATCTTCTTTTGGGTGCTTTCTAAAGAGGGAATTGTCTTCTCACCAGACCTTCACCAGTTCGATGTGGGATTCTAGCTTTTTTGTGAGTAAATGTAAGATATTATATCAGAAGTTAACATTTTCATAAACTGAAAATGTATTTCTGATAGATATTTACCTCCTCTCACATTTCCCACCCGTCCTCCCAACTTTCAGTTTAAATTAGTTATGACCAATTTCGAAGTGATTAACATGTGCATAATTAGAGAGGGCACTAGTTATGACAGGGGTAGTGTTGCACTCCTATTAGTGGAGGGTTACTACATGATCATTTGCATGTTAGTATGCAGTAACGAGGCTAGTGGCAAGTGGAATTTTGCACTGATAGAGAAAGCTTTTTTCTGATGAGAGGTATCTATCGGAAAGACATTTTCAGTGTCAGAAAATGTTAACATTTATTATTTTTGTGATAGTTGATTTAATCATAATTTTGATTAATTAATTGTTGAAATAATTGAAAAATAATGCCAAATTGAATTTATGAGAGAATGATTGGACTTATAAGATTGAGTTTAAAGGACACACAGAAAGAAGGCATTCTTTACTTCCTTCCCTTTGATGCTCTTTAATTCAGGGAAAAGAGTTGGTTTTGTGAGAGGTAATGGTGACCTGTGGAGTCAACAGTAGGACATGGGTGGTAGCATAAACAAGGAGGAGGAATACTATTTTCTGTTCCTACAGTGGAATGTTGTTTGTGGAGCAGTCCAGACATGTATTATGAAAGAATTTACTCTAGCGACAGTACCCCCCCCCCCCCTCCTCCATCCATGTCAAAAATGGCCAGAGAATCATACAATCAGTGAAGTTAGTGGGCATTTGGGAGAAAACTGAAGAAAGACCCAAGAAGTCTCCAAGAGTGGGATCAACAACATGAGGAGAGTGCAATGGAGACATCAAACATAAAGAAATAAGAGTAAAACATAGATGATTTCCATCCTCATTGGAGCTGAGACATTTAGTGATATTGGTAGGCCCATTCACAACATTTCTAATGCCACACAAGCGTGTAGAGTTGGGAAAGGTACCTTCCATGTCATCATCAGCCACCAGATGGCACCCTTATCCATGTTAAAAGGGCAACACTCTCTCATGGAGTTTCAGAACAGAGAATGTAATTTTTGTCTGGGACAAATGTAGAGGTATATGTGACATGCGAGCATCTCTACTGGGTGAATGCATACTCAGAGCTTATATGTGATATGCGAGCATCTCTACTGGACTAATGCATACTCCATGATTTTTTATCTAATTAGCTCATTTCTCAACCACAGACATCCCTATATTTGTTAAAAGGAGTGTTGGGCAATATAGAATTACTTGGGTTGTGTAGGACAAATGCAGAGGTTAAAGAAATGCAAGACTGCTGACTGGATGAATTGATATAAATATCAATTCTTGACACATAAGAAGAAAATGTATTTACTTGTTGTGTCTTTCTTGTTTTGAAGTCAAAGTTGAGCAGATGTTATGAAAATTACAAAAGATGCATTCCATCAAGCATGAAAACAATCGCACATGACAAGTGGAATCTTGAAACTGAAAATAGGGTGATTTGATGAAGTTGAAATTATATTTCACTTGATAATCTTGAGTCATTGATCCTTGTAGCATAATTTGATTTACTGTTCTTTTCTTGCTTTAATTGCATTTAGATAAACTACTAGTAATGACCATGGATAATGATGACTGTATTTTGTACATGATATACAATCCTCTCTTGTTCATTTTAAGTCAATAGACAGTGGACAAGTGCCAGAAGGTTGGATAAGTGATAATGTTGCTGTTATATTTAAGGGGAATGTCAAGAGTTACATTGGAAATTATAAAGTAATTAGTTTTACTTCTGTGGTGGGCTCTAAAATTACTTTATTATGTCAGAGAAGGTAATTTGCTATATACATATATATATAAACACAAATCACAAGTTTAGCTTCACTTGGAATACTATGGATAGTGTTAGTTTTCTTACTAAAGAAAGGATATTGATTTCTTGAAAGGGTTCAGAATGTGGTTAGTACGACGATTTCTGAAATTGAAGAGATTATCTTATGATTTACATTGAGATTTTTGATGATGTTTTCTCATGAGAAAAGAAAGAGATGATCGTCTAGGATATGAGGGCACAAATTTAAGATTTGGGATAGGCTAAATTATATTTAAGATAGTTTTATATTTTAAAAAAGTGATTAGCTTATGAAATGAAATGCTGCTAGCATTAGTGGAGGCTTGTTTCTTTAAAATGTAGGATAGGTTTGATTTATACTTTTTCTTGGAGGTTTGTGTGCAGGACAGTCACAGAGGTTCAAACTGTATCTTGTTTACCTGTATGTTGTTACGTGTATCAGGAGCAAATCCAGGATTTTCAGTTGGTGGGGTAGTGATTTTAAAGTAAGCTGCTCACTGAAAACTCATTTTGTATAGAAAAACACATTTAAACATTTTTTGATATATTTAGTATTGGCAAAAATTCACAACCGTTTATAAATTAAAATACAACACAGATGTTATAATAATTACATTGTCATCTGCATTTGCTGTTGTTTCAATAATAATAGTGACATGGAATAGAAGAGCTTGCTTGGTAATTCAGTTAAGATAATGGTAGATATGTTGGGAGTGTTAGTTGTCAGTTGATCACCATAGCTATAATACTTCATCCTTGATTATGGAAAAAACATTGCTTGTCAAAAAAATAGGGTGTTCCAGGCTGGATACCCCCCCCTTGAGTTTGCCTCTGTGTATATTAAGCAATTTTATGCTTAAAACTAATTATTTGTGATTGTAGGTAAGCCAGCTGATATTTGTGTTAAGTATTTTTTCAACATTTGCAGTTGATACATGTTTTTGATCTTTTATAGTTATCAAAATTATGTATAAAGTGCTTGCAAAGATTTTTCTTATGAAAATATTCATTAATAACCAGCTTACATATTCTTTAAAACCAATCCTTCTGTTTTGTAAAGTGATTTATCTAAATTAACAAAGTAAGAAGTATCATTATATAAGTGACTTTGTTTGCAGGTGTACCCCAAGGTGAAGGAAGAACAAGGGATACAAAGAAAATATTTTCTTTGAGTAAAGAATGTCTTGATAGAATGGAAGTGCTTCTTGAAAAATTATGTAAGTTTATATTTTTGATCTTACTTTCTTATTTAATTTTCTTTTTGCAAGTATTCAGAAAAATTTAATAATTGTACACACACACACACAGATAGTGAAAGCTCCTTTTAACCACTATGTAACAGTTTCATTAATTTCTTTTTCTGGTATATATTAGTATCAAATAAATTTGCCTCATAATGAAACACCAAGTTAATAACCTAAGTCATAGTGTGTTGATATTTAATGTGATTTCTTGGTATTTTCAGGGGAGGATTAAGGCTGGGTTTATTGGGGCAGTAGCACCAGGCCCAAAAAAGCCTGTTATTAAAGAAATAAAAGACCTGTCTTCACTTTTTTTTTTTTAGGAAAATGCATAATAAAAATAATCCAATCAAAACTACTAATTTCTTGAAGAGAGAGAGAGTTTGTGTGTGAAATGGGTAGGCCTATCATGTGACATAGAGTGCTGAGATCAGATTGGTTTGACTTAGTCACGCTAATTGAATGATATACCTTGGCCAATCAAAGTCTCTTCAATCCACATTTTCATGATGTTGGTTGCTAGGCTTTTCACTTGTGGCTTGTGCCCAACATGTTGTTTCTTATTGTATGATCAAGCAGTAGGACTAGAATGTGACTAGATTTAAGTTGCTAGGCTATGTTGGAGATATTTATATTTTTTGATTCTTCATTCTCAAAGGCTTCGAGAAAAGAGTTCAGTCATTGCTAACAAGGTAAGTAACAGTATTTTAAGCTTTTAGCATATATTGTCTCAATTTCTTGAAGAGAATTTGCAACTAGTAAAAATCCTTAATTACTTGTAAGTTCATATTGCCCTACTTATCAGCTGTAGTTCGTTGACAACTTGACAAACATCATTAGTTGGAGGGTATAGAATGCAAGCCATCCAAGTACAAAATGTGAAATTTTTGAGTTGAGTACAGAAAATGATATGCAATCATTTGTTATGAAACTATTAGGCAGCTTGCTCTGACATCTCTCTCTCTCTCTCTCACACACACACACACACACACACACACACACACAAAAGCATGCGTATATTTGCACACACATATTATTCATTAAGTGTTTATCTTATCTATTATACAGATGTACAAACACAAGCAATTGGAAAAAGCTAAAGTCAAAGAAAGAGGAAGAAAAAAAAATTAGAGAAGTATTAACTAAAATTAGGAAGCTAACAGACTTAGGGGCTTTGTCCTCTAGTGCTGAAACCCTCACCAACCAAGATAGGATAAACAACAATGTAGACACTGAATCTCCTGATGTTGATGACTGTCAAATTGAACCCTTACTCTCAATAAAAAAGTGCAGAAAACATAATCACAAACCAAGACTGTGAAAACAATCGTTTAGAGACTACGACTATCAATGCTGATGACCATCAACCTCATCAAACTCAATCAAGCCCCTACCAACAGGAAGAAATCAATTATTGCAATTGTTTAACTTAGGGACATGGACACAAGTTTCTGGCAAAGTGAAAGATTTTGATGCAGATTTCAGTGCATTTACAAAATTGATGCCAGGTGAAAAGTATAACCATCAATGCTCAAAGACCTTTTTTTTTTTCACCATCATCAGTTGAATGGAGAAAAGGTTAAAAGAGATTGGCTTTGCTACTCACTGTTAAAGGAAAATGGCTTCTGTGTAGCAATGAAAGCTTCATTACTAACAACAATTGGTTACTCTGACTGGAAACATACTGCAAGGAACTTTAGCCAGTGCGAAACAAACTTGCTGCATCAAAGTTGCATCACCAAATTTGTTTTTTCATAAAATCAAAAGCAAATAAATTGTCAAGACTATAATGGATAAAATGGAATCAGAGAAAAATGTAGTGGCATCAAGTTGTAGAGCGTATTCTCTCAATGTTCAAGTTTCATTCATCCAGAGAGCAAGCATTCAAAGAAATTGATGAAGTAGTTGGTTCATTACATAATGGCAAACACTTAAAAATACTGAAGCTGTTGGCTGAGTAGAATACATTACTTGCTGAACACATTAAAAAATATGGAATAAGGGAAAAGGTCAACTGCTTGTGATGAATTCATAGAAATCCTACATAGATAAATTCTCATTTCTATTAACCAGGAAATTAAAACATTCGAGTATTACCCAGTGTCTGTTGATTCTACTCCAGACATATCCCATGTGGATCAACTGAAAATCTCTAAATATGATTTAAGTTAATGGCCCTGTAGAGAGATTTGCCAAATTCTTACTGATAAGCAATCATACAGCAGCAGAACTTGCTAGAGTTCTCATTAATTTACTTGAAAAGAATGATATAAGAATTCAAGATTGCCATGGGTAGTCTTACTACAGTGCATCCAATATTTGAGGTAAATATGTTGGTATACAAGCCTTGATTAAAGAGAAGAACTCCCTTGCAGGCTATGTTCCCTGCTGTGCTCATTTGCTCAATGGTGTTGGACAGTGTGTTGTGGACTGTTTTCCTTAAGCTTTTGTATTCTTTGCCTTTGTGCAGTAGCTTTATGTGGTTTTCTCAGATTCAACCTGCCTGTGGAAGTGTGTGCATGATGTGCTTGAAAACTAGAGTTCTCAGTGATAAAGAGGTTATCTTATACAAGATGGAGCACCCATTCAGATGTGATGTGAGCCTTGAAATGGAGTACAAAGCTGTAACTCAAGTTCCTGCTTCCATTACAAACTATGACTCTGAAAAGCCTCTAGTGCACTTAGATTCAAAAAGCTTTATGCTACAATTGGAACAACTAGAAACAGGTATAATGAGGGGAATTATGAAGTATTATCTGGGAAAGGTTTCATAAGATAAATTTCTCGTTACAAACCTCCCATATAGATGTCAGTACAGCTTCTCATCTACTGAAATCTCTCAAGACTTTCATACAGGAATTGCAAAATTAATTTCCTGAAGATGAGGAAAAGTGTAAACAACTGTCAGGAAGTGAGACATGTAAGGTTAAAAGATCAAGTAAAAGAAATATGACATGGGATGAATGTGATACTGGGGACTGATTTTTCACCCTTTACTCAGTATAAAGTTCAGACTTACTTAACAACAATTGAGAAACTGTCACTTGCACTAGACAACAGAATAGTGGCATATGAAAACATTAGTTGCAAATTTGGGTTTTATGAAACTTAAGAGTCCATGTCTATAGAAGATCTTCATAATGCCACCAAAAAGATGATTGGTACATATCCTGTGGACTTAGAAAGTTGAACAGAGGAAGAAATTGTTCAATTTGCTTCTCTCTGCAAGGCAGGATTCATTGGAAAATTATCAGAATCCAAGGAACAAAGTATGCTGAGAATGATATGTGACTAGTTTCTGTTATCAAATTTCCCAAACATCCTAATAATCTTAAGGATGTACTTGTGCCTCATGTCAAGCAATTGCTCAGGAGAAATATCATTCTGGGTGCTAAAAAGGATAAAGAACACACTGTGATCAGCATTGTGCGAAGACAAGCTAAATGCACTGGCAATTTTTTACATAGAAAATGACTTGTTTGAATTTTCCTGAGATCTCCTCTTGCCTCCATTAGATCACCATAGTTTACATAAATATGTGAAGGGTTCTTTACATGGCTAAAAATCACAGTCCTCTTCATGGTCCATCATACACCAAACAGATAAAAAAAGCCCTTGCTAAAAAAAAAAGAGCTTAGAAGACATGATCTGCTACTACTACTATGTGAGTACTGGTGTGATCTAAGTTTGTGTGTGCATTAGTGGGTTAGTTGTTGAGTTGATGTGTATGTGGTTTCTTTCTGTCTTTCTGCTTTGTTGTCCAAATACAAATTTTGTCTGTGTTAGAGCACCATTTTTCTTATTCAACAAACATCTTATATCGTTCTTTAATTTGTAGACGAGTCTTGCAAATGTGTGAGTATTATCTTCCCATTGTCTCCAAACCATATCTTGAGGTTTAGTTTTTTAATTTAGTATTTAGTTGCCATCTTAATAGACCTGGTAGAAACATTTATCCCCAGGCCTGTCTGACCCTTAATCCACCCTTGGTTATTTCAACAGTGTAATTTAAACTGTTTTAAAATCACTGTCTTAGGGGAAAATAAAATTGAAGTTTGCAAAAGTTTTCACTTTTTACTTCATTAATTATTATATTTAGTATCTAGAATTTCTAATCAATGACAAATGAGACAAAGGAGTACATTCAGTCTAGGTAAAGTGGCATTAACCCTTTCGAGACAGGTGAAAGGCCATGTCATCACGTTTGTTGACTCGCATTCAAAATTTTATTGAACTACTATTTCATGAATTTATGTCAGTAAGTTAAGTCACCCAGTCTTGTCTTTTAACTCACCAATATGAACCTATGTTTGTAAAGAGCTTCAAGAATTGATAAGAGATATATTCTACCAACATATGAAGGATAGTCTTTTTCTTTTGATTTTCATTTGTCCAGGGTTACTAGTGAGGGGTGGAATTCCCCAAAATTAGTACATCTCAGTGACACATGGTGAACTAAGTGATAGATTGGGCTTCATATTTATTTTTAGCATATTCTGTCTAGTTGTTTCTAAATTTACCAATTATAGTTATCAAAAGTTCATTTATTTTCTATAAGTACTAAATAATAATCAATGGCAACCTTTGAGAACATTGTTTCACAATTTTTATAGATTTTCATTAAACTTTTTTGCTTGATCATACATGTATAGTAATAAAGTGATATTAATAACATTTAGTTTTATAATTTAACAGTTTATGTAGTAATGATCTCTTTGTACATAAATTCATCACACTATTGGTTATAACAGTTGTATCCAGAGGTTTAAATAATTGTCTCCTTTTCGTCATAGTCCACACAGGCAGGTTCAATACGTTTAGAACACCCTTTGATGAGACAACTTATTCTCCTCTACTCTCTTATTACAAACAAACTATGAAACTCATTTTACCCCTTACGGCTAAACTGATACGCAGTCTAACTTACTATAAACTGCAAGACATTATGATATACCCATATTCACTTAAAGCAATGAGAAAAATTCAGAAGGTTCAAGTAACATGATGCCAATTCACAACAATTGAACTATGCAAGAAATGATTCATAAACTATTATGTTAGCAAACTGGTTATAACTGTCACTTCTAAAAATTATTTTAATGCTCACACAATATATACTAAATAATACTCGCATGTTAAACTTAAAATGAACAGTTGTGTATTAGGTTGTCAAGAAATTAATGTCGCTTTTCTTTAGATGAAAAAACCCAAACAACTTGTATATCAAAATAAAACATTTTTAAATGAAATAGTCTCCATTCTTATCTTGCAATCAGGTTGTTAATGCCCTGATTAAAGAAATCACTTGGCTTTGAAGCAAAAACATGTCGATGTCTTTTTTAACACCTTCTACATTTGCATACGTTTTCCCATTAAGATGGTGTTGCAGTGAATGAAAAAGATGGTAATCTGATGGTGCCATATCTGGAGAATATGGTGGGTGGGGGAGAAATTACCCAGATTAAAGAAATCACTTGGCTTTGAAGCAAAAAACATGTCGATGTCCTTTTTAACACCTTCTACATTTGCATACGTTTTCCCATTAAGATGGTGTTGCAGTGAACAAAAAAGATGGTAATCTGATGGTGCCATATCTAGAGAATATGTATGGTGGGTGGGGGAGAAATTCCCAATCCAACTCCATAACCTTGTATTGCATCAAACATGGCACATGTGGACGTGCATTGTCGTGGAGAAGAACACCTTTCCAGTTTCTGATGAAGGGCTTGATTTAAAAGTTCCAGTTCCTGACTATAGATCTCTGCATTGACAGTTCACAGTGGATTGAGGAGTTTGAAATGAATTACTCCCATGATGTCCCACCAAATGAAAAGCATCACTTTCTGCGGATGGAGTCCAGGTTTTTCGGTCGGAAGTGGTTTTTTTGTCTGGGACTGAGCCATTGTTTTTGGCATTTAATATTTGCATAGAGAATCCATTTTTCTTCATCGGTGACAATTCTATCCAAAAAATGGTTCACGTGCCAGAAGAGATAAAGCAGCATTCACACGTTGGAAACAATGATCATCAGAGAGTTCATGAAACACCCAAAAACCTTCTTTATGAAGTTTTCCCATATTCCTTAGATTTTCATGTATTGTTCCATGAGAGACATACAATTTCTGGACCATTTCACAAGTGTATTGCCTTGGGTTAAACTCAACAAGCATCTTCAGAGCATCAATATCAATTCCAACATGTCGGCCCCT